ATTATTTTAAATTTGGTGACCATTATTTTAGATTTGGTGACTAAATATCTGCTTAATTCCGCCAATGCGCCGTAATGCAAAATGTCAATCTGATTGATTATGATAGGTTCGTCCGATAAAATTCGTATAATTCTCATCTAACCCTAATCTAAGCCCAACTTAATTCGGTTATTAAAAAATGTAAGTTACATAATAATTTACCATAATAACTTGCCAGTAAGTTACCATGGTAAGTTACCACTACGTAATAACCTTGCTTAACCTAATTTCAACATCAGCTTAACATTTATGCAGGTCGATGTTGATCAATCTAGGCCAATGATCGATGTAACTATACAAAGAATAATTAATTTTTTAATAATGCATGAGCATTAGGACATGTGGCTGCGACTCGATTATTTAACACGAGCTAGTTACGTACGTACGTACGTATTGTACCCTAATACAGATAAGTTCTGACGAATGATGGATACATTTATAGGATTGATTATTAATCAATTGATGTAGAATAGGTATCCCGTATACCAACTATATTTGGGCTAGGTGCTGAAAAAAAGCTTTTTTTTTTTTTTTTTGAGCTTAGTTCGGAAACATTTTTCACTTAAGGAACAAGTTCTTTTATTTTGCAGTATAATTCATTAAAGTTTTTATTTGCTTTTTTTAATTTATTATAAAATTTATAAAAATTAATTTTCCGTAAAAAAATTTTTTTGTCAATTTCGTCCCTTTTCACAGTACCAAACCCATTTGATCTCGAATGATTTTTTTCATATCGCTCCATATATAAAATCAGATGAAAAAATTTATGATTTGAGTGACGGAAGGGGAAAAACCTGTAAATTAATTCATATCAGATTCGACCCCTAAGGGAATCCGATATTCGATTCTATGTGATTAAGAACCGTTAGATTATACAATTTACTTGTAAAAAGATGTATTAAAGCACATCTTGTCGAAACGACTAGAATGATTAACTTTACACATACTGCTGTATTGTATTTGATCATTTCAAGGTCAATTTTGCGGAGGATGAACAATGGTTAATCAGTTTACAGGTTTCCCCTACCCTTTCCGTCACTTATATATCGTGATTGTCAAGGGTCATATTCAAGGTTGTTGGCGGTAACTTACCGTGGTAAGTTACCATTAACTTACCATGGTAACTACGGTAATTTTACAACACTGGTCATATTAAAAAAAATCGTCGCCTCCCTGCACCAATGATTGGTAATGTAATTTTACAATAAGAAAAAAATTATAATATATATTTATGTAATATCAGTTATGTTTTTTTCTTGATTTTTTTTTTCCTTAGAAAAATGAGATTGAATAATAAATAATCTCTATTTTTTTTAAAAAACTTGTACACAAACTATCTATAATTTACAATGGTTCTGATTTTTTTTTTTTTAAACAAAAGTACAAAAATCAACGATAATGAACAACACCTCATCATTACTTAATGCAGCCAGGCATTTAATCACCATTAATAACCAATTAATTAATCATATTTATAGTTAATTAATTAATCATCAATGGTCCATTTTTTAGGACCCGGCTCGGCTTCCAGATCATCCCAAATTTGTACCAAAGGGACAGGAGTTTGTGGAATAGTTTCGTCTTGATCATCTTTCTTGTTAACTGCATTAACATTAAAAAAGAAGGATATATTATGTAAGAATTAAGAAATACAAAAAAAAAAATATAGTCAATTGAATTAAATTAAAAACTTACTACGCTCTTTTAATCCTTGACCAAAATTTCTCAATACTTTAACACCAAAAACAAATAATAGCTATGAAAAAGAAACACCAATTAGTTACAGTTAGTTACATTTAGTACAATTAGTAAGAAAAAAATTCAAAACCATATTTGGAAGTAACATGCTACACGTACCACAGAGTTTACAATCAACAATGTAACTACAAATAAAAAATAGATATATAAACTAAATATCAAAAAAGGTAAAAAAAGAAAGAAATATATAAAGATAAAACAAGAAATTTTATACATACGGATAATGATTCCGAAATACCAATAACTCCTATATTCCATGAAAAAGATAAATGCACAAACCATAGCAAACACAAAATCGACTATAACAGCAATCCATAGAACCAAAAATATTATCATTCCTAATCTATGTTCTGTTGCGACCTATTAGTAAAAAAAAGATTGGATAAAAGATTTAATTCGAGTTAAAACAAAAAAAAAAATATAAATAAATAATAGTAAATAAAATAATAATAATAAAAAATAGATATATATTTACAAATCGGTAAGCCAATATTTCCAAAATCAGTACCAAGACTGTAACGACCAAATGATATATTATAAATCCGGTCGTAAGGGCACTATATTGACTATTTTGCCAGTTATAGACAAGAATGATGAGCAATGAAGGAATCATGAATAATAATATGGATAATAGATTAAGTTTCAGCAACATCAAGAAAATTAAGTGTTCCTTGTATCTGCCTATTCAAAAAAGGAAAAGAAAAAAAAAGAAATTAAAAAAAAAGGTAACATAAACATAAATTAGATTAACAAATTATATTTAAAAAAATTACATTAAAACAAATAATAAAAAAATATTATAAAAAGAATAAATTACATCTCATTTTAGGGTCACCACCGATCTTCTTATAATTAACCCAGCCAAATTGTTTATAAAGTTTATATGAAAGGA